TGCTTAGAGTGGAGGCATTTAACCCGTGAAAATATATTTGACTATTTAGTTTGATAGTCAAATACACAAAAAAGAAAACAATGCAATTAGATCGTGTAATATATATTTCATGGGTTTTTGGACTCAAAATCTGAAGTGAAATCCCAACAATTGTACAATTCATTGTGTTTGGACATGCGCCTCGGAGCTGAAAGAAGACGGGTTTCTATTGGTAAATCAATTTACCTGCAAAGGAACTCGTATCATTGACTGAACTTTGCTTCCAGTTTCCGATTCTTCTTCAATCTTAAGTTCTTCCCAACTCTAAAGGAGTACAAAAAGATGACATGGGAGTTTAGTTGGTTTGATAGTCCATTACATGAGATGATGGCTTTCACAAGAACGTAAGTTACTTTTTCTCTTAAGCAATTATCAACAAASATTAAAACATGTACTGTAACATCAGGGGTCGTGCAGGATCAATTTAAAGGAGTTTTTGAGGTTGCCAAAGGGCAAAAATGGTATCATTCATGGATCATCGTATATTGGAGAATACCATGTTTCAATTCTTACTCATTGTTTGGAAAGATTTATCCAGCTTCCTTTTCTTGGAGTTTCGCGAAGTTTACAAGGATATTTCTCCAGTTATTCATTTCTCAAGGAGTTTCGCGAACCCTTGAAAATACATTTTAAATTCCCGCACTTTTCAAGGACCTGCACCAATACTATTGATAACACTCTAATGAACAAATCGAAATCGCTTTTCTATGGTCTGTACGCTTATCGACAATGAAAATGACGTCAGAAAATGATCAAAACTCAAGTGGAACCACGAGCGTAGCGAGTAACCAAGAAAAGCGAATTCGATTTGTTAAAAGGACTTGGCTGAAGTTTGAAGATGTCAAAACGGATCGTGATGAAAAAATGGCGGAAAGAAAGAAAAAAAGAAATGAAACTATCACTAAAAACCATGCATCAAACATTATCGGGGCTATTAAAGTAGTAGTAAAGTGTGGGAGTGCGGAACGGGAGAGGGGCTGGGAAGAATAGGAAAAATATAATCCCCTTCTACCCCGACCCCCTCCCCTTCCGTTTCCCCCCTTCCCCCCTCCCCTGTCTAAAGCCGCTACACAGGCTAAGTACTCACTGTCATGGAGAACAAAGCTGACTGTAAACCGCCTGTAATAAGGGAGTTYTCGTACGACTTCAGGAAAAAATCACACACCCAGTCTTTCCATAATCTGAAATAAAAACATTTAACAGAAAGAATTAAGATAAAATTTATCCTTACAACATGGCTACAACTGTCGTGGGGCTATTTAAAAGCAATAGCCGATTTTCGTGATACTTGGTAACGCCCGACTGGGACCGAATTTACAGCCTCAAAACGAGACTTGGCTTCTTGCCGCGCGCCTCCACTTAGCRCGGGAAAAAAATATGTAAACAACAATTTACAAAAATGGTTGGAAGTGTTYGTTCTGTACGTTTGTGTAAAAACAACTCCGAAAAACGACCAGACTTGTCATTCTTTTCATTTCCAACCAACAAATCGTTACGTAGAAAGTGGAAAAGATTTTGTGGAGGAAATAAAGCTTTTAGTGTAAAAGACCAAGAATATGCCGCCTTCATTYCACGGAAAGCGGTGTCCAAAAGTCCGTAGGTGGAAGATACTATCTGAGACCAAATACCTTACCAAGCAAAGTATTCGGCCAGAAATACCCACGACAGTAGCCATGTTGTAAGGATGACATAGGTAGATTGCATGCAATGGTTGGAGGCAAAAGTTGTCTAAATCGACCTTAACTTCTTCCTCTGTAGCTTTTAGGAAGTATACGCCTTCGTGACAATTTTACCCATACCATGATGCACTTCGCCAAAACAAACATGGCGGCATGCATGATACAAATACCGTTGCAGTAACCCTGAATTCAATGTCCTCAAACCCACCTAAATGCATCGAAATATCTCTTYTTAAGAAGTCCTGACAGTTCTTTTAACTTGCTATTTGTTTCTTGTTCGCTCTGCAGGAAAACAAATCATAGGSGAATTAGTTTATTAAATAACGAAATAACGCAAGCCATCATTGGTTGATAAATAAMTAGTATTTTTCGTTTTCAATAATCGTCCAGAAACCATATTGGTTGAACTCCAACAAAGGATTTCTCGTTAGTATCGAATGTTCATTCAACAAACAKGGCCGCCGATCGTTTGGCTTTTGAATCTCATGGGAATGATTGAAAAAATGAGCGTTATTATTGGTCAAGAAAGCAACAATTTAAAAAGAACTTATAAAAAGTATACCTTTCTCTTGGACAGGCTTGATTGCCTTGTTATCCTGTAAATCAAAGAAAACAAAATGGCCACAATATAATTAGTTTAATATTTTTTTATTATAACTTTATTTTATTTTTTTATTTTTGCCTTTTATTTAAGTCATTACTTGCCTAACAAAGCTCTAGGGGATTTGACATTACAAATGAGAGAGTCGACTCTCTATAACAAAAGGTGATACCTGGGAGCTGATTGACGGCTGCTGGTAGGTTGGTCGAGCTGACCTTGACCTTTCATGGCTAATTTGAGATGCGGACATTGCTCAACCAGACATGAGCAGAAACGACCGACCAACAGAACTCTGAGTAATGACGTGCAAAACAATAGCAAGAACTAGTTAACTACGACTGATTGATTGATTGACCGATTGATTGATTGATTGATTGAAATTTGAATTGATTAATTGATGAAATGATGATATAAAGTTGAGTGATAAATTGATTAGTGGATTGAATCGATTAACTGAATTATAGATTAGATGAAATTTGAATTGATTGATTAATCAAATTATAAGTTGAATGATAAATTGATTGATGGATTGARTCGATTAACTGAATTATCGTTTMGATGAATGATAAGTCGAATGATAAATTGATTGATGAATTGACTGAATTACATTTTATTCACTGGATGACTGAATTAAATTTAAATTGATTGGTTGATGAAATGATGAAGTTGAATGATGAAGTTGAATGATTAATTGAATGATGAATTGATTGATTGATTGACTTGATTATTTGCACTGATTGGATGATTGAGTGTAATTTGATTGATTGATGGAATGATTAATGATCTTATTTGTGCAGCCTTAACCTCAAAAGCATGTAATATATTCTTTTATTCAGCAGAGATCCTATTATAATGCAAACACTTTGTGTACAAAGAAGACAATAAACATTTATGCTTGATTGAAACTAAGCTTGCACAAAATTGTCTCGTTGACTGAATTACATTGCATTGATTGGATGATTGACTGGAATTTGATTGATTRGCTGATGAAATGATTAATTGAAAGGTCGATATCTTGATTTCAAGATTGAATGTTGGGCAAATTGCTTGAACGATAGCCTRCGTAGYGGCTCTAGRGRAKGGRCTACTTGAATGACAGATTATTAATCCTGTCCTTACCTATCTATATACATTGTATTATACGCAGATGTAGACGATTTGATTTTGTTCTTGTGATCATCCAGTATTTCGCCCAATTCGTTGAGTAGTCTGTTAAATTAAGAATTTACAATTACTCTTCATTCACATATAAAAACTATCTATGTGAACGGTCTGTTTTTATCGTGCGATATGCGATTTTTGTGGCGATTTATATTTCATGTTTAGACAGTCAGYCAATAAACGATGATTTCCCAAGCAAGCTCCTGTAGGAAAAGCGCAGTGAGAATAAATAAAACAATAGTTTTCGAAGCTGGAGCAACCGTCGCCAGACAGCTTACGCTTGCACTTTTAAGGGTGCGAGAGCAAAGTAAAAAAATACAAAAATGTTATAATGTAAACTAGCATGTTTACCTGTTAAAAGCATTAAAGCAAGTTTCTTCTARGAAACTCTGGATACTTTTAGCGTCCCCGTAACGGTCAAACGGCTCCTTTTCTTCTGGCCCTTTAGTTACAGAAATAATCCCAAGATCCTCTGCTCTCCCACTCGCCGACAATCGCTGCTTCTCTGGTGTTTTGACCTCTTTGGGTTTTGATATAAAGTACTGGGCGTCCTCTAGTGTTGCTGCTAGTCGATCATTGATTGTCATACATAGTCTGAAGGTTTAATATCACCAAAACAATTAGTTAAGGATGAGTATGACGATTATCCTTCTTTAGGACTCTGGACTTCCTGTGGYGGAACAAAGGGGTGGAAGAGGGGACRTTGAGAGAAGAGGAGTTGCCGACCTCTTCCTYTATTACTTGGGGCCCRTTCTTCTCCGTAGCTCATAACAAAGGAAACCCAACTATTTAAGTTGCTTATACTCAAGTTCCGAWTTCTCTTTTGTGCAAGCTTAGCYTCAATCAAGCATAAATCGTATTGTCTTCTYTGTACACAGAGTGTTTGCATTACAATAGGATCTCTGCTAAAAAAAAAAATATTACATGCTTTCGAGGTTAAGGAACTTTGTTCGCAGAGTAAGATTAAGGCTGCACAAATGAGATCTCGAAATTCGAGTATTGGGGAGGATTCAGTCAGTGTAATATGCTTATGATGGCTTGGGAGAAAAGTCTGCGAAGTTTGCATAAAAACAAAAGCTACATACACAACATCAAACAATCAGAAAAAGAACACATTCGGAGCAACAACATACGGTCTTAGACRCCTTTTACTACCTTTGCACAGCTGGGGTACATCCTCGTGCTTTCATTGCCAGCCCTCCACCATCCTGCMCTTGTTGTTTTGCACCGCTTAAATGTGTGCCCCATAATGATGCAAGAGGAACATCATTTGGACTTTCGTGCCAAACGTAATGCGATATGTCGCGTTCGGAAGTGACGTTGATGTCGTTKCTATGGTAATCTGCGAGATCGTCCTGTGATTGGGTCATCATGTGCTGACATGACGTGATAGTGGCATCAAACATCCCTCGTAGAATGTCCTAGTGAAGTAATGATACAATCATTACAAAGGAAGCCCAAAGGAGGAAAAAAGAGTTGTCTGACCTGGTGGATACTTTGTGAATAGTCTAGTATATCTAGTCTAGTATGTCTAGTATTCAAACCAAAAAACGAGCTAACCTTTGATCTGTCAAGAAATATTTGCCTCATAAACATGTCCCATAGTGACACTTCATGATTGACAACTTTGGAACATAGTTGATCCCATTCAAGCCCTTGGTGTTCTTGTACGACACTTGCATTACACTGAAACATAAAAACACACCTGAGTCTAACCTCGCTATCCAGGYCATACAGGATGCAAAACAGGAGTTCATTTGTCTTTTTTTCTCATATGATGTTTTGTGCCATATTTCACAAGTTCATATTTTGAACAGAGGAAGTCCATAAGCTAAAAGAACTCAACCTTTTTTGGGTTTGTTTTTGCCCTTTTTTGTTTGTTTAACTTTTGCAATTTCAGGAAAATGATTTGTGTTCGTGAAAAAGTCATAATTTTGGCATAACTCTTATTCATTTGAGGAAAGCAGCAACATGTTTCCCGCTATGGTTTTAACCGCGAAGAGGTCAATTCTTTGATATCAGTTATTTATTTTATATTTTTGGCCACAAACTCGTACCACAAACGTTGCAAAACTTGCTGAAGTATGTGCAGTGGCATGCTAGTTGCTGCAGTTAATTACTACACTGCGAACGGTAGACCTACTTCGAGTAACACTGTACGCAACGAAAAAGGGCGCGACACTCTGCACTTGTCTGGCAACTTGTTTCGAATTGGAAGACGCATTGACGAGAAGATTCAAGCGTTAATATTTCTTAGATTATCTTAAGCAAAAGTAACAATAAAGTGAACTTGTTTGGGAAATATTGACTACAATTCCTAGCAGTAACACCTCTTTAAGAAGCTCCCAGACAGCATCTCTTATCGAAGCAAGTCCTTTCAGTGTACCAATGTACTTAAGAAGCTTACTAACTCCGTTAGTTACGTCCTTTTGACACCTGCAATAAGATCAAAAACCGCTGTTACTTTTCATTGAAGATAATCTCCTTCACGGTTCCCTGTGCCATCTTGAAAGTTATCCGTGCCTTTTCATCGAAGCGAGACAATCGTTGAGCGTGCACATGATAGAAACCTTCTTTCGCACCAACAGACAATTATCCACAAGTATCTATCATATTGCACGCTCAACGGTTGCCTCGCTTCGATGTCAAGGCACGGCTATACCTTTCAAGATGGAGCTGGGAACCGCGAAGGAGACTAAACAACTTGTATCAGATTTACAAGGTCGAACAATTATTTTATTTTATCCTTACATTTTGATCCATTCTTCGCAGTTGCTTTGAATATTGTGCAGCGGAATTGTAGCGGAGAAAGCCCTCATGTGAGGCCTGTATTCTACAGACAAAGAARAAAGCCATGCAATCAAAGAAACAATCTGGGGTTGTGTAGAATATGATGCAGTTATACACAATGAAATAGAGATATTTTCATAAATGGTTTTCATTAAGCCGTAAAATACGCCTTTTTGTGTGATTACACCTTACTTCACTTTGGCTAATACGCTAATTTCATTTAAAACTATAAGCTAATAAACACTTCATTTTCCCCTTTTGGGATCCCTCTGGAATCCTCTTGGCCGAGCGGGGGCCTTGAGTCACGCCAATAAATGAAGAGGTTGGTGACTTCACGATCTTTCATTGTCTGCCGAGTTACAGTTTTCCTCGGTCATATTGAGGAAAACAGGAAGCCCAAGAGTAGAAAGAAGAGCGGAAAGGATTAGGCGTCTGCGTAGGAGGCTAAATGAAAACCACCCTAACTATTAAAGAAAACAGTGTCCCACCCCTAGCGGGGAAGGGGTGGGAACGGATGTACACAGGCTAGCAAGAAAACTGCATTTAATATTTCACTTGTTGGTAAAGGAAAGCAATAGAAAGTGCGGAACGAACTCTTAGTTTGCTAGAAGGAAAGAGGACTGCTCAAAACCGGTAAAACTAGTATGTTGATCCCATAGTCCTTTGCGTTAAAAACAAAAGTGTGACGTCAATATGCGACAGAGTATTATAGACATACCTAGTACTGATTTGGGAAGATATCTTGCACTGGTCACTAGGTCAAAGTCAGGGCCAAACAAAGCTTCCAAGGCTGAAATTCAAATGGAATAAAGCAAAATCAAAACAAAACGAAACAAAACAAACAAACAAAAACAAAACAAAACAAATAAAAAAACGAAAAAAAAAAAACGAAACGAAACAAAACGAAACAAAAAACGAAACGAAACGAAACAAAATGGAACAAAAAAATCAAAAACGAAACAAAACAAAATAAACGGAACAAAACAAAACAACAGCTATAACATCCATTTAGRATAAAGAATGGGAGAGAGACACACGAGGTGAGGATAAATGAATAAAAAACAATTTATCAAAATGATAATATTTTACCTTCTTCATCACTGTTCGGATCTGAAGCATTACGTTTTGTCACTTGATGTAAAGTTTGAAATAACAATGCAGGATTATCTGTCAGTATAAAAAAATATATCAAATAACGATCAATAATAACTTCCTCAATCCCTTGTTTGCACTCCCAAACTTTTGCTGATACAAATTCAGTCATTTCTAACCTTTGATTTCATGGACTTGATCACCATTTTGAACATCGCAGACAAACAAACTGTAGATTTGATACAAACTGGTTCTTATTACCCTGATGAGTTCACAGACTTGAGATCTGATACTAGTAGCTGTGTAATAAGCAAAAAACTGCAGATTGATAATTGTGCAACAATACAACATACATTGTACAGTATACTATTAAAAATAATAAGGTTGTTGGAATGGAGACGCGATTGTACCACTACTGAAGTAGCTGTGGTAAATTTAACAAATTTTATTTGTCGCAGCATGTCCTCTTATTTACCACAGTTTGCCTCATTGAATCTTCCAAAAAAATTTATCCACCCACACGAAAAAGTCACAAAAAGTCACCTCCTTCTCAAATCCTGCATTCACCCCTCCCCCTACATGTAAGTGTTGCTTACAGATGACGATGAAAAAGAAAGTTCACACACATGGTATAAAACATACAGAAAGTAGATCAAATGGAAACCTGTTATGTGTCTATTCTTCGTTTTCAAGTTACGACACATCGGCCATCTTGGAGGAACTTCAACAAAGGATTTCTCATTAGTAGCTATTGTTCAGTCCTCCAACATGGCCGCCGGTCTTTTATCTTTTGAATCTCATGAGAATAGTTGAAAAAAGTTTTTTAGGTGTATGACAACACTCATGATTATAATAGCTATTMTCTACTTACAGTGCTGACTAGGGTGAAATATTTCTTGTAAAGTAGATTTTCTTGCGAGGATGAATTCAGAGAAAACTTGTCTTGGTGAGCTTTCYTCAAGAAGTAAAACAGAGCAAAGGGCTTCTGTCACAGCCTACGTTTAAAGACAACAGAGGATAAAGATAATGAAAGAATACAGTCAACTCTCGCCTTACGGACACCCCGCTATAACGGACACCTCGATATTACGGACACTAAGTGACGGTTCCGACTAAACCTACAAAGAGTTCTCTCATGATTTCTATCTCTGCTTTTACGATTTGAAGTTCCATGCATGGTTAATTATGACAATAACCTTAAAACACAACATAATACATACAGTCAACTCTCGTTATAACGGACACCCTCGGGACCATGACTTGACCTCGGTGTCCGTAATAGCGAGAGTCCGCAATAGCGGGGGTCATCTCCATACATTTCTTTGTAATTTCAGTCCAATCTCGTACGKGTCCCGAGCCTTCGTTTTTCTTGCCCAGAAGGCTCGGGGTACGAGATTGGTTTCAGTCGGTGATTTTACTGCTGTCCGTAATAGCGGAGTGTTCGTTGTATTGGGGTGYCCGTTAGGCGAGAGTTACTGTACACAGATARATTGGCCAAAAAGTAAACTAAAGTCGTGCCCATACAGGTTACCTGACTAAATAGACAGTGAAAATCTGTGCAAATCTCGGACAAAATACTTATGAAGTTCTCAGCAATAACCTAAAACTTAATATCACAGACAGACAGACATCATTTAATGGAAAGACTGGGAAGCTTGGACAACCAATACCTGAGATGGACTGTGAATAAACGGTTTTATAGCGAGGGATTTTACAGTCATGCTGGATGCAGGGTAATAAACATCTAATTCATTGTCCATGATCTTACTAACCTCATCAGGCTGAGTAGCATCCTTAAGAAGAGTGCGACTGCCCTGCAATAACCATCTATTAGTTCAAATTACTTTACTTGAATGACCTATTCATGACCTAGTATACATTGATTTCTAAAATACAGTACCTGAATTATAGAATCTTTAAAATGACTTATTGCAGCCCATTGTCTTTGAAGGATTGGAAATGATGACTGAAAGTAAATYACACATGACTTTAATAATAAACAATTACAATTATTTGAAAAAAACATGCATATAATGTATGGAATGTTAAATAATTCAGTTTCGAATTCTCCAATGCTCTGTGTTAGCCTCATTTGTGCGCTAAATATTCCTAMTTGTGAGAATAAAAGTGATCAATTCCATTGTCTTTCTTTTCAAATTCCATGCGTTTTCWCRGGCTATCAATRAAACAAAAGAWTATGTTGCTTGGTTTTGAGGCTAACACAGAGCAAACCAGAACTCGAAATTGGAGTATTGTTATTATGAAAACACAGTACAGTCAGCAAAAATTAACTATAGATGATCACAGATCAAAGAATGGGCTTCCTGTGACATTTTGAATTTAACTAGTGCACAGAACATATTCAATATACCACGACAGATTACAAAGGCTATTTGCTTTCATGGTGCTGTTACATGAAGCCTGTACTTAACATAAGAAATCATCATACTAAGGGAAGGGTTAAAGAATCATAACCACCCGTCGTACCTTGCGTGCTCGCATTATTRTTTACATACGTTTAAATGCGTCAAGCATACAATAAATTATAGGTTGAYAGTACCTGTGAGGTACTTAGTTAAAGGTATTTCTGTCCAAACTGAAAGGACGGAAGACGATTTGCGCTCACTTTAAGAAATCCTACAAATCCRCCATTTTCGTGTCCACCTAAAATGGCGCTTCRGTTCGCAAGGTACGSCGGGTGGTTATGATTCTTTAAAATAGCTAGTAGACATACCAAGACTTTAGGAGCAGCAGTAGTACCAGAATCCAGGTGTAATATACTAACAATATGATGAGAGAGAAGATACAAACGAGCTGCTTTGAGGTATTGATGTCTTTCTAATGCACTCYATATCTAGTGGTRAATTTTGTAATGATTTAGYRTAAAATAAGTTTACAACATGAGCRGCCGTGTTGTACGTGATTTTACAATCTYGAGCCGAAGGYGGGAGATTGTAAAGYCCATACAACACRGACGCGAATGTTGTAAATTACTTGTGAAACATTTAGGTGTATACATTCATAATCTACTAAAAACTCACAGATAAAATTGAATTTGGCTGAGAAAATTAGATTTGAAGTTTATGTAAATCAAGACAGTTTTGTATCAAGTATTACAACACTCTTCATGGTTGTGATTTCTATTATGTTTTCCTCATTAATTATTCATGAGTTTTACAACACATTTTAAAGGTGTACAATAAGCACTGAAGTCTAAATATTGCAGCAAACCGCCATGTTTCAAGTTGTATATTAAATAATTATTGGTTAATATCACTAGGATAATTTGTGCAAATTAAATCCAAAAAACATTTACACACATGCACTGAGTGTATAATAATAATTATAATTATGTCAAGTAACGGCCTATAAATATTCTAATTTTAATATCAAAACAATGTACCGTATTTACCCATGTATAAGCCGCACTTTTTTTCCAAAAAAATCGTTCCCAAATCGGGGGTGCGGCTTATCTACGAGAAGACTTGTAAAAATGCCCGATAAAAACTAATTTGCATAAATTAGCATTCACGGTGCTACTTACTGCAGACAGGACATCAGTAATGTGATAAGTTTGTTTTACACAGCGGGAACAGAAATTTAAGTCCAAACTTCTCAGTATTACTATAAATTCTCCGAAAGTCTAGCTCTGAGAAACACAAGTCAATAAATCAAACTGAAAAGTGCGTGGTTATTGAGCTAAAACAGAGASCATTTTCAATCGTTTTGTCTTGGAGTTGTTTTGGTAACGCGATGCTAATTTWAGCGACTTTAAATAAGAAATTGTTCCTTATATTAAACAAGTACGATCTGCTTTAATATTTTTTTGAAATACGAAACGGTTTCGGCATGATCCTTATGTTTAGAAGTTTGGCGGCACGATGAGATTTATATCACTCAAGATAATTACTAGTTTGCTTTTACCTTTTGATTAAAAAAACATCTCTTTAAATATAGTATCAATTATCAATCTTAACAATTATGTCTCCAAGATTCATCATACACCGCACGTTAAATATACAGATTGTAATTGCATACGAAATGCATGAATCACGGAAATCGAGCAGCAGAAAAGCACTTTAAAATCAAAGAAAGCTGTGTTCGCAAGTGGCGATCAAAAAGAGAAAAGTTTATTTTACGTCTTTTTTTTCCCTCAAAAACGTTCCTAAAACTCGGGGTGCRGCTTATCTACGAGAGCGGCTTATACATGGGTAAATACGGTATCTAATAGATGTATTAAGTCTACAAATTAAAAAAGACATATTTTCATGTGATTGGAATAAGTATAAATTAAAAGTTCAAATCTTTATACAGTTCTGTGCACCGTCTTCAGTTGGAAGGTCACGTGGCAGCAGTGCCTTTGAATCAAAGTTAGGCAACCAGTGAATTTACCAACAAAGTACGAACAGAGCATTGCACTTAGTTGTAAGATTGTCTCTTAAGTTAGCCTTCTAACGGGTGTTCCTTCTTAGTGGCCGAGAAAGAATTGGGGAGGAGCAGCAGCTCCTTCCCATTCCTTCTCGACCCCAACAGGAAAGCCTGTTAGCACGGCTTCTCTTAAGTTGACACACAGAACTAAACAGGCTATAAAGTTCAAAGCAATTTACTTTACCTTCTCTGGGGTGTCTACCAGTAGCTTCATTTGAGCAGCAAGACTATAAAAACYGCTCTTGGTTTGTGGAGAACTGGAAAAGGAGACATAAAAGACACATTGTTACTATAGACTGCTTGCATGTGACATYAAAGTCATTTGGAGGACAACTCAAATATATTMTTTTGTYCTCTAGTTAGCTAGCTCACAGCATTCTCGTGAACTGCAAGGGGTCTGAAAAGACATAAAGTTTAAGATCATTGGCAGTGGCAAGTAACTGGCATCAATATTGCCATCTTAGCCAGTAGGTTAAGTTTAAAACCAGGCATTCTTTGGTCAAACAGTAAACCAGACACTATTTCATCTTTCATCTTAATCAGTCAGTTAACCAGACATTATTGACATCTACAGGTATTTTAATAAAATATTTCATTTATGTCTGAATCAATTAACAGTTAACCAGACATAATTGAAATATTTTATTTAAACCACGTGTACATGATTTGTACAATGCAKCTCTAAGTTCAAGCTGAGATGAAGAACTTGTCTTAAATAATTGATCTTTACTTACACTGATGGAAGTTTAGCGGAGCCTSCAACACCATGACACTTGTGTGACTGATGTAAGTCTTTACATTGATGCTGGATCCCTTCTACTGATACTCTGATCTGGTATAAAAAGACAACTAACTTAGTTACTAATACATGTAAATCAGCTGTAGATGTCTAGAAAAACTTGCAAAACAACAACATCATCAAAACCCAAAAAAAAAAAACAACAACAACAGAGATTAGAACAGCAAGAACAACAATGACAATAACAAGATCAACATCAACAAGGAACAACAGCAACAACATCAACAGCAGCAGCAGCAAAAATAACAATATCATCAACAATGGAGACAACAACAACAGCACACAAAAAACATTAAAATCCTCAGAAGTTCAAATAATTTGTGACCTTCCAGATACTTGTTTTAGATTAACATGTACAAGGTACATGTTCCTTCAATATCAACCAATGAGACTACAGGTAGACTTTACCTGCAGGCATATGACATACATGTAGGTACATATACATGGTATAGCCTGTAGCTTCCAGGCATAAAATGTTCATTATTAATAGCTAATGAGTACTCCCTAACTGAAGACAGTTTTTAGAGCATTCAACAAGTACAACTGTATCTGGAAGGTAATATGACAGCAGTGTTACACAAGACAATTATGTCTCCTTCAGGGTTACCTGCGCCATCTTGAAAGGTAGCCRTGCCTTTGCATCGAAGAGAGACAACCGTTGAGTGTGCAATGATAGAAACCTGTGAATAATTGTCTGTAGGTGTGAAAGAGGTTTCTATCATTGCAYGCTCAACAGTTGTCTCGTTTCGATGAAAAGGCATGGCTACCTTTCAAGATGGCGCAGGTAACCGTGAAGGAGACTATTTTAGCATTAATTAGAACAAACTTGCAAATTAACTATTCTATAAATTTATAACTGCAAACTTACTAGAGTTACACATAATGATGCATTTCAATTAATCATTAATTGATATKAAAATAATCGTTCTCAGGGTTTTCAAACTAAACAAAATCTAAATTAGCGTGATCATGGCACTGATTTTAGCCACCTTTTTAGTGAAGTCTTTCATCTCAGTAATAGTATCGGCTGCATCAATAAGATCCCTGTACCTCTCCCTAGAAGWACAGAACAACAGCTATTAGTCAATTGGAAAATTGTAACTAAATGGAAAAAAATATGAGGTGGAAAAAAGACAAACACAAAGACACACAAAATAGAGCTCGGAGCTGCATCCTTTTGATTCACATAGAACAAGTGTCGTGACCCCAGTGCATTATGGGTTTTTGGCCCACGAGGAAAAGCTAGCGACAAGACGACACGAGGCAACTTGTGAACTACATGTATAAGGTTATGTTAATAGTTTAACCAATAAAGAAGAGAACACCACAACAAGCCCCTGTATTTCAAGTTTAATTTACTGAAAATAACATTGAATTTTATACTACTATAGACATTACGCCTAAAAAAATGGTAGTCAGATTCCTTAAGGATACACCATGAAAGCTAAGACTAAATTATGATTTAGGCAAATAATAATGATTTGAATTTCTGAGAATCCAAGATCCCTTGCGATCTTGTTTTTTAAATATGTTTAATGATTACCTTTTTGTGACCTGACAATGTATCGACCATTCTGAATGCAACATTAAAAATAAAAACAACAAAAATCAACATTATATACCCACCCAACCATGAGTCGTAATTCCTCCTTTTTCTTTTCAATATCACCTCTATGGAATAGAAGACATAGATGTCAAGAACA